TGAGCAGGGAGCCCGATGCGGGACTCGATCCAGGGACTCCAGGATCATGACCTGAGCCAAAGGCAGTCGCTTAACCAACTGAGCCACCCAGGCGCCCTGTTGTCCCATCTTTAAGTGAAGGTTGCACTAGTAGATAATCTCTAAGATAACTTTCTCTCTCATAATCTGTGAGTACAGTGGTTTAATAAGCTTTGTTTTTTTTTTCACTTCTTTACTAAAACCCTGTGGTAAAATTTAGTTATAGAAGGCCCTTAGAAAGGTAGACATACATAGCTTTTACAATTAGACATTGCAGCCTTTGGAGATGAAGCGGTCCGCAGGGTGTGGATGATTGGTAAAAATCTGGGTAGGTTACAAAAAAAAAAAAAGCTTAATGGCCATAAAAACATTTACTTGGTGACTTACTCTTCATTTTCTGACCTCTGGCAAGTGCTAACAAATTAGGTTTTATGGGGCTAGAGTGTAAAAGCTGCGTATTGACATCTGAATTTGACTTTCCCAGGTTACGCGGTGCTTCTGTAATAGTTAGGTTTGTGACCAATACTACCAAAGAGAGCAAGCAAGACCTACTGGATAGGTTGAAAAAATTGGAGTTTGATATCTCTGAAGATGAAATATTCACTTCGCTGACTGCAGCCAGAAATTTAGTAGAGCAGAAACAGGTTCGACCCATGCTGCTAGTGGATGATCGGGCGCTCCCTGATTTCAAAGGTAGGGGACATGAGGAAATATACAGAAATTGGTTCTTCATATTCGCTTATAAATCATTCTTAAAACTGGACGTTTACAGGTGTTTTTGTCAGATTTCCTCTTATTATTATTGAAATGGTCAACAGATAGTTTTAATCTAAATTTATGTTTCTCAAACCTGTTTTGACTATACTCCACAATATGCACACATAATATAGTAACCCAGTAGATATATACTTGTGTTTATGTGTGTTAAACAATACTTACTCTTACTGTATGAGAGGTACTCTATTTTCTATCTGGTTTACTTTATTGTTTGTTTGAATTTGATGCTGCTTAGAGCCGTCCACATTAGCTTCACATCTGCTCATGGATCATGGCCCACAGTTTGAAAAAAACAGGCCAAAATCACTTTGTGTATTATAATCCTCAATCCAGGAGCCACTGTATTAATTTGGTTAAATGAGATATGTTGGAATCTTACATTTTATTTCAGTTTTTGTTAATAGAATTAATCTGATCCCACTTATAAATGATTGATTATGAGCAGTTTATATTTATGATGGGCTTGGCTTTCAAGGCTGATGAATAAATCTTAATAATATTGTGAAAAAAACAGATACCATTCTGTATCGTGTGAAGTTTTTGCAATGACCATAAAATAAAATAAAACTGTTTTTTCTTTGGAAAAATAAACAAACTCTGGGAAAATATCCTGTTTTTATGAAGCTTTGCCACATTACTTCTTTTTATAAATGACAGAGTGAAATGACACAATATAGAAAAATGGGTATAAATACCTCATTATAAAACCATAGGATGGCTTTACAAATAATGATTAGGGAAATTCAGCGTGAATATATTGTTAGGCAGAACCTCAAAACTTGTCCTATCAGGAAATAGAACAGTGTATCAAGCAGAATTATTATTTGTAAGAAACAGAAGCCAACTTCAGCTGAATTAAACAGAAAATACATTTATTAAAAGGATCTGAATGCTGACAGGAATATAAAATGGTACACCTCCTATGGAGAGGAATTTGGCAATAGCTAGCAAAATTGCATGTGAAGCAGAACTGCCACTTGTAGGAACCTATCCCTAAGAGATAGTTACAAAAATACACAATGGCATGCGATCAAAGTTGTTCATTATGGACTTATTTGAAATAACAAAAGATTGGAAACAACCCGAATGTTCATTGGAAGAGACTGATTGTTTAAACTGTGATATGTCCACAGAACAAAATGCCTTGTAGCTGAAAAATAAGTAAGGGCAAATTCTATCTCCTGATAAGGAGTGGTCTTCATAGGGTATATTAAGTGAAAAAGGAGGGTGTAGAAAACCTTACATATTTTCTGTGTAAGAATATGAGAGAGAAATGGATATGTGTTTGTCTTATATTTGTGAAAGGAAGCTAAAGAAGAATAAAGGGGAAACTAGGAAAAGTGGTTATCTAAAGGGGGGGGAAGGAAGAAAGGGATTAGGAGACAAGACTTCTCCACAAGTACCTTGTTTATAGCGTTTCCTTTGGAACCATGTAAATATTTTGCATATTTAAAATGCAATTAAAAAGTAAAAACCAAGCCAGTCCCTGAAAACCAAAATCAAATTGAAACAAATAAATTTAATTCTCTATCAAGTTGGTGACGTATCCACTCAGAGAAGAGTTACTTCAAGTGACTTTAAAATACAGTATTTTGATGGTTTGTTCATAGTGGGATAAATTCTAAGGATAAAAGCACTGCAAAGGGATGACACGATACTCGTGTGGAAAACCCAAAAGATTCCACCCCAAAATTTGTAGAACTCATACAGGAATTCAGCAAAGTGGCAGGATATAAAATCAATGCACAGAAATCAGTTGCATTTCTGTACACTAACAATGAGACAGAAGAAAGAGAAATCAAGGAGTCGATCCCATTTACAATTGCACCCAAACCATAAGATACTTAGGAATAAACCTAACCAAAGAGGCAAAGGATCTGTACTCTGAAAACTATAGAACACTCATATAAGAAATTGAGGAAGACACAAAGAAATGGAAAAACGTTCCATGCTCATGGATTGAAAGAACAATTATTGTTAAAATGTCTATGCTACCTGGAGCAGTCTACACATTCAGTGCAATCCCTATCAAAATACTATCAACTTTTTTCATAGAGCTGGAACAAATAATCCTAAAATTTGTGTGGAACCAGAAAAGGCCCCGAATAACCAAAGGAATGTTGAAAAAGCAAAGCAAAGCTGGTGGTATCACAATTCCGGACTTCAAGCTCTATTCCAAAGCAGTAGTTACCAGGACAGTATGGTACTGGCACAAAAACAGACACAGAGATCAGTGGAACAGAATAGAGAACCCAGAAATGGACCCTCACCTCTATGGTCAACTAACCTTTGACAAAGCAGGAAAGAATATCCAATGGAAAAAAGACAGTCTCTTCAACAAACGGTGTTGGGAAAATTGGACAGCCACATGCAGAAGAATGAAGCTGGACCATTTTCCTATACCATACACAAAAATAGCCTCAAAATGGATGAAAGACCTAAATGTGAGACAGGAATCTATCAAAATCCTAGAGGAGAACACAGGCAGCAAGCTCTGAGATCTTGGTCACAGCAACTTCTTCCTGGAAACATTGCCAAAGGCAAGGGAAACAAAGGCAAAAATGAAGTATTGGGACATCGTCAACATAAAAAGCTTTTGCACAACAAAGGAAACAGTTTACAAAACCAAAAGACAGCCGACAGAATGGGAGAATATGTTTGCAAAGGACATATCGAATAAAGGGCTAGTATCCAAAATCTATAAAGAACTTATCAAACTATACCCAAAGAACAAAGAATCCAATAAAAAATGGACAGAAGACATGAGCAGACATTTCTGCAAAGAAGACATCCAAATGGCCAACAGACACATGAGAAAATGCTCAACATCACTCGGCATCAGGGAAATAGAAATCAAAACCATAATGAGATACCACCTCACACCAATCAGAATGGCTAAAATTAACAAGTCAGGAAGCGACAGATGTTGGCAGGGATGCGGAGAAAGGGGAACCCTCCTCCACTGTTGGTGGGAATGCAAGCTGGTGCAGCCACTCTAGAAAATAGTATGGGGAGGTTCCTCAAAAAGTTGAAAATAGAGCTACCCTATGACTCAGCAATTGCACTACTGGGTATCTACTCCAGAGATACAAATGTAATGATCCGAAGGGGCACCTGCACCCCAATGTTTAGCAGCAATGTCCACAACAGCCATACTATGGAAAGAGCCCAGATGTCCATCAGCAGATGAATGGATAAGTAAGATGTGTATATATATATACAATGGAATACTACTCAGCCATCAAAAAATGAAATCTTGCCATTTGCAACAATGTGGATGGAACTAGAGGATATTATGCTAAGCGTTATAAGTCAGTCAGAGAAAGACACTTATCATATGATCTCACTGATATGTGGAATTTAAGAAACCAAACAGAGGATCATAGGGGAAGAGAGGAAAAAACAAAACAAGATGAAACCAGAGAGGGAGACAAACCATAGGAGACTCTTAATCATAGGAAACAAACAGGGTTGCTGGAGGGGAGGGGGGTAGGGTGATGGGGTAACTGGGTGATAGACGTTAAGGAGGGCATGTGATATAATGAGCACTGGGTATTATAAGACTGATGAATCACAGACCTGTACCTCTGAAACCAATAATATATTATATGTTAATTTTAAAAAACTGCAAAGAAATCTTAAACTACGTTCAGTAGTCTTAGTGTTATTAGTAATGTAGTAATTAGTTATTATTTTTAAATTAGAGATATCGGATAAAGCAAAGTAGTAATTACGCTAGTATTGGTAGTACCCACGATTTTATGTGTAAATGCAAAGAGATACGAATATAAAAATCAAAAAAGCCATGGATTACTAATTTTGAATTAGATCATTATCAACTCCCTTGTTCTCTCTTAAAAAATACACATTATCTAGATCTTCCACTGCAAAGGCCTAGAAGCAGTGACAGCCGATGCTCAGTGGTGGCACACTACCATTTCTGAACTACTCAGTACTTGTGGCTACTAGGAAGGAGGAAATTGGAAATCCGGGTATCTGCTCTGTTTCTTCCCCTCACATTTTGATGGAATCTATGATGAGGATGCTTCAAGGCAGGCAGTGAGAGAGGCAAATAGGAATTGGTATATAGAAAATCTGCAGAACCTTTAATTGGACCTTTAATAACTGTGATGGTGAATATACTTGTTTGATTGTCATATCTGAAGTTCTGTTACCAGATACCAAAGCCTTAAAATATGCTTTAATGACAGAATAATATTTGTGGAACTGAAAGTGGATTAGGCATTAAGTAGAAAACTGTAGAATCTACAGTGCACTCCTTATTTATCATGAATGTGTTAACCTCAGCTGTGTCAATTAGAAAGTCTAATTTCCCTTGCCTCTTAGACTTTTAGGCCCTCATCAGTTGCTATTGATCTGATAGCTCATAGAGGACTCACGGCTGTTCTTGTTGATTGTAATCAGTAAAGCTTTTAAAAGTTAGAAATTGTCACTTGTTGGAGAACATCAAGTTGCAAGTTTCCGTTGAGATCTTCTAGTTACTAAGTAGTTGTAACACCATGCAAAAGGAATATGCAGAAATACTAGAAAAATGTAAAAAAAAAAAACTATTTTCTTTAAGTATTGCTTATACCGCCAAAGTACATTGGACAGAATAATCTCTTAAATTTCAGATTATGGCTACAGCAAAAATTTGTATTTGATTGACTAAAGAAAGCTATTTTATTATAAAATGTATTATTACTGCTAATTACATTTTTCAACAATTAACATATTTTTTCCATTCCCAGGAATACAAACAAGTGATCCAAATGCTGTGGTCATAGGATTGGCACCAGAACATTTTCATTATCAAATTCTGAATCAAGCATTCCGGTAAGTCTTTAGCTATTTGTTTTTCTTCTGATCATATGCTCCTCTCTTCCCTTCCTGAGTCTCTGTCATGAAAGGTTATAGATATATTTTACTTTCTGGCCACCCAAATTGTACATGAGGATAGATGTCTTCAAGATCAACATTAAATCATATTTATTACTATCTTGCTAAGTTTTTAAAAAATAATCAATATGTTAAAATGTGATGATCATTGGGGTTTTTCTTGTTTATAGAATCAATATCCTGGGGCAGAAATTCATAATAAAATTGCAACTCCGGAGTTAGCAATTTTGTAATGGAGCCCAAGTCCATCTGCTTGGTGGGCAGAAAAGCCAATCACTGAGACACCAGGTTTGCAGCAAGGAAAGAGTTTATTTGAGAGGCAGGCCAAAGGAAGAAGACTGGAGGACAAGCTTCCAATCTGCCTTCTCAAAGGGGGAGAAAACAAGTGTCTTATAATCAGAGGGGTTGAGATTACATACATATTGATGAAAAGGGTAGGGAAACTATATGACTATTCATGAGAAAATATGGAGCGTGATCATTCAGCAAACATAGATGTAACATCCCATGTTCACTTTGTGGTGGAGATTTAACACCAGAATGAGGCAAAATTCAGCCTCTGATGTCAGAAGTTTATCTTGGGACAAAGGGGCTATGGGCATGCTCTGAGAGCTGGTATAAACTGAATGGGGTCTTGGGCTCGTTATCTCAGGGAAGGAATGCTGGGCTTTGCTTGTTCGTAGGCTGGAACCATATCAGATGACCTTGAGTCCAGGCTCTTGTAGAGACAGCTAGTATATGTTGGTGGGGTCTGAAAAGAGGTAATAGCTGATGAGGGAGCAACAGTTCTCTGAAAAGCAAGCTTTAAACTTTTCTGCTTGTTTTAACGTCATTAATCCTGTGGAGCATAGTTTCAGTTTTATCTTTTATTATCATCCCTGTGATTCTTCACTGACTATGCTATTCTCTGAAGGAAGGTGTATCATCCTGGTTAACGCTCCAAAAACAATACTTGTGATTTCTTCCTCCAGTGATAATCTAGGGTATAGAGAAAAGTTGACACATTTGACCACACTTTCAAAGAAATTATTTGATAAGTGATAATGGTAGTCTGAACTGGGCTGGTAGCAGTAGGAATGAAGAAGCAGATTCAGGTAGTGTTGACATGACTTGATGGATGGTTGGGTTTAGGGAGTAAGGAAGACCAGCGAGTCAAGGCGGATGTCCACATTTCTAACCTGAGCACATGTGACAGAGAGCACTCCCTGTTTGGGGTTCAGGAGGTGATAAGTTTAGGTTGGGGCTGTTTGGCCTTTGGGGTATCTTAACTGGAGATGTTCTAATGGCTGCTGGTAGAAACGTGGGGAAATACAACCGAAAATTTCTAAATCTTCATTTGTGTGTCCATTTTAGTTACATGAACTTTTCACTGGCTGCTTCAAAGGGAAGACAGCATCCTGGTTCTCACACTTAAGATAAATTGGATCAGAATTTATCCGCAAATATGCTCTAGAGTGAGATTGATTTTTTTCCCTTGGATTTTTCATTTTTCATAGATTTTTCATTTTTCATCTTTTACTTCTTGTCACACCATTAAACCAGCATAATTTGCCTTTCAATTTATGACAAGTTATGTAGTTCTAAATATTGCATCAATATTGCATATTGAACTTGTTTAAAAAAATTTTTTAACGGCTTGGTAAATTTTTGGTGCTTAGTTACAAAGAATGCCATAAAAACATCATCTTCTTACCAGTACGAAGATCTACTAGAATGATTCTAATGTATACTTGATGTAGAATTCATTTCTTGGTGTAGATGTCCAAAAATCAGAATGTTTGTAGGAAACTTTAAAACTCACTAAAGGGTTCACACATCTGGGCACATTATTTGCTGTTGATCTTGGAAATATTTGTGGCCAAAAATAGCACTTTGGGAACAGCCTCCTTTTTTCTTTGTATGAACATTTATTTTAGATCCTTGGTTAATGGAAACTATGGCTACATAATGCACTTTTATTTGTGACTCCCTTATTAGTCAGTGTGGTAGTCAAGCCTTTGTTTAAAAGGAACAAACTCACTTTTTATAGTTGTTCAGTATCCATTTACTGTATTTCCTGAAGAGCTATTGCTGTGCCATATTGCTTGAAGATATACTTTGGGGTATATGGTATTAAAATTCCTTTTGCTTTACCTACTTCAGTTATCCTACTTTAGCTTCTTGGGTTGGGGGTTGGGGGATGGATTATCTAACTGCTCCTTAAGTAAGGTTTACCACTATGCCAAAATCAGTTTTTATGTGAAATGGAGAACCTGCTATGATTTCTTACTTCTGAACTTAACCCACTACCTTTTATCCATTTCTCTAACCACAGAATTCAAGGAGAGGGTATTGATTGATTTTAGCTGGTAATTTGGGAAGGACATATTTAATAGGAAGTTGGGAGGTCTCTGTCTTAGATGAACACTAGACTCAGGGTAATAAAAATGTATGTTGACATAATACTGACTTTGTAATTGCTCGGATGCTGTCTAATTAGTACACTTCCCTAACCATATTGATTTTTTTAAACACTACATTTTAAAGCATTACAGTGCACTTATAGGTCAACTCTAATTTCACAAATGCACTTAACAGCTGGGTGGAGAATTAACAGAAGGATTTTAGGTCTTGCCCTTCTTTGCATATTGATGTCTCCACAGAGACTATGCCTTCCAACCAGTGACTACAGCTGTTTGGATTGTGTGTGTCAAATACAGACATCTCAAATGAACCACCGATTAGTTAAATTACTATTCAGGTTGATAATGAGAACAAGCATTGGATTTTAAACCCCGTTGCATAGCTGCCTTGAATAACAGCTTCGGGGGCATATTGCCCTCAGGCAGATATATCAACCTTCCACATTACACTGCCCCTTATTTACTGTGTTTTGAATGGGTAGCCCTCCCCCCACGCACACACACACAAATGCATAGTACAGTCTGTCTACAAATGTGTCTTAAATGTCTGAATGAAATTGAGAAACCTGAATTTAAAGAATTGATTTTGGGAAAGGATAAGAACCAGCTATAGGGAACAGACATGATTTGGATTTGGATTCTAGAAGACATCCAAATCCTAAGAGCCATGGGTAGCTTTTCCCCTTTTATCTAATACTAAAAGATACAAAGAGTAATATCAACCAGCTTAAGAAATACAAATTATCAGCACATTTGATATCCCCTGCATATCCTTCCCCTATTTTATCGCCCAAGACCCCAAAGTAATCATGGTTATGATTCTGTGTTTATCATTGTCATATATTTCTTTATACTTATCACATATGGTAGGTATCCCTAAACAATATGTAGTATTATTTTATGTGTTTTATACTTTATCGGTTTGCTTTATCCCCTGGTAGTATTGTTTGATTCATCACCATGAATATCCATAGCTCCAGCTGATTCATTTTCACAGCTGTAGTACTTGCTTGTAGCAAGGTCTGTTTTCATCTGCTGACCTGAGTTAGAAACCCAAAGCTTGAGCATTTTAGTAATGGACCAATTATAATTGAGTTTGCTGATCTCTATTAGGAGAAAGGCTGCTGGGCAAACAGATCACTTAATAACTTAACTTGAACTTAGTCACAAGACTAAAAAAAAAATCAGCGCAAAAGTAATATGTCTTCATTGTGGGAAAGTTTAAATGCTCAAAAAGGAAAAGAAGAAACAAAATTACCTGTAATCCTGCTGTTAGAGCACCAGGTAACATGCTAGCACATAGCTTGTTTGTTTCCATGCACATAAATACTAGTTAAAAATGAGAATGTATATATACTATGTGGTCACTTGGCTTTTTAAAAACCCCACAATTTGTTGTGCATGTTTTTCTATATTCTTAAATAGTCTTCCAGAACATGTTTGATTCCCACAGCATATTCCACTTTAAAAAGTGCAATACACTGTGAAGTCATCTGCTTCCTGTTGGTTATTTCCAGGATTTTGAAGTGAGTTTTTGAAAAATGAAAACAGGTTTCTTTAAACTGTATTTATGTTTATGCCTTAAGATTGTTTTCAGAAGTATATAGTTGCTGGGTCAAAGGAATTTGGGGGGAAAACCGTAGAGAATTGCTTAACCTAGGAAAAATTAAAGTGTTTTTTTTTGTTGTTTTGTTTCCCTAAATTAAGAGCAGCTGTCCTACAGCTTCTAGAAGAGCTTCTTAAAATGTCATTGTAACTGAAGGTAAATGACACCACAACTTTCACAGTTAAATGCAGAGATGAAGGCTACTTAATAATAATGTTTTGAAACTTTGTTAATGACTTCTTTTCTGTAATTGTTGCCAGGTGCAGGAATGCTCCCAAAGTCTTAGAGGTGTGCAAAAATTAGGGGGTTTTTTGGTTTTGGGAAGGAGATCCTCATCACCATAAATGGTCTCTGTTCAGTGTTGAATTGCTTTCTTTTCCCTATCTCCTTAAGAAAAAATAAAATGTTTTGATTACACCAGTATATTCAGTTCCTTAGAAAGGGAAGAAAAAATCAACAGTAATGGGCTCAGTTATTAGTGCATTTGGACAGGAACTCCTGAATTTTTTCTAGGTGTTTAGAGCCCTGGGCATGAGGAATTCCAGAACAATGTGGCAGCAGGGCCTAAAGTAGAAATAATATTTCTGTGGGCTTTTCCTGTTTTGACTACTTTTAAATTAAAGTCCAGACTATAAAAACACTTGGGAAATAAGAAATTGTTTAAGACTTAAGAACTTGAGTTATGTAAAGCATGCCATTAGTATAGGCAGGAGGACAACTTATTATGACAATCTGAAAATCAGAATACATAATTGAGTTGATTATCAGTCACTAATGACTCTTATTTTTTAATCAATTGGGGAGATTCTTTTATGGTCAAGGCAGCTCTTGCTATTCCAAATAAAAGCTTCTGGTGAGTAAATCACATAAATATATTATACTGATTTTTTTGATTTGACGTATAACATGCACAGTAAAGTATACAAATT